TAAGGAAAAAAACCCAAATTCACTTAATGATGGGTCCCAAGGGAATCTGATACAATTCAAGGAAAAATATCTCATCCATGGAAATGCTTCATTCCATAGGTCACCATGATTCTGCTGAGTTGTCATGTTTTTAGTCTTCAAGAATGTCCACAAACCATGGCCAGGACTATAGGAGACATATATGAAGGAAAATAGGCTCTCAGTCTAGATGGGAAATATACACATGTACCACAGATTATGCACAAGGTAGGATGTGTGTCCAGTGAATGGGTCAGTGGAAATCCCAAGGAAGGAAACGCACTGTGTGCTGGAGTGGACAAGAAAGGGAAGTGAGGTTTGCTCCAGTTTGCCCAGGTGCAATCTAGGAAGAGCAGCGGCTTAAGAAACAGAGAAATGGGCCGGGGATTGAACTCAGTGGTTTTGCCGCCTGCTGAACAAGCGCAAGGACCTGAGTTCAATCCCCGGTACCAGAAAAAAAGAAACAGAGAAGTGGGAATGTGCACAGGGCTATGTGAGAACAGTGAGCCTGGAACCACAGCCTGACTAAAGCCCTTGGCTTAATCCACACCATCAACACTGTTGTACAGGTAGGAAGTCCAAGACTTGCAGGAAAAGGGACTTGCCCACAATCAGCCAAGTGAGGCCAGTGCCCTGGCTACCTTGAAAGGATGCTGCATAGGGCAGGGGATGAGGCCTGGGGCCCTTTCTTAGGACATTCTGTTAAGCACAGCCAATGATCCCTTCCCAAGATCAGGCAAGATTTTATACCTGGAGGCCAATCCCACAGAGCTGTAGCAAGAAGTAAGGGATAGAGAAGAGGGTAAGGAGTCAGGTACAAGTCTGGCCTAGCTGAGGCCAGGATAGGGTGACAGGATAGGGTTTTGGGTCCTCCAACTTTGAAATATCTGTGAAATAACTATTTAGAAAGCTTGTTCAATTTTGAAATTTCTTCAAGATGAAACCAAACTTGGATTTGATGAGTTGATACCTTAAGCATTGGCCTAGTACGTGGCAAACAGTTTCCCCTGTCCTCATGACCTAAGGGGCCAGCTTCACAAGCCCAACTCTAGCCTGTCTATAGGACAGGATCTGACAGAGCATGGGGCTCTGGCCTGGGAAAATGCTGCTGGCAGAAGGCAGCCCAGGTGATGTAAAAGGCAAGACACATGTCAATTCCCTCTTCAGTGCTCAAGCCCAGATCCCCTGTGTCTAACATGGAGTCTGGCACATCAGAGTGCCCAATGAGTATGTGTTGCCTTTGCAGTGCTGAATCTATAATTCTAAAAGTCATCCAAGTACCTAGTGCTACAATTTACCTTCCAAAGGAAGTCACAAGCCATGGTTTCCCTCTTTTGAAAAGCTCCACCAGCTGAACAGAGGCATTTCTAGGCAAGACAGCTGAGCTCTACAGACCACAGCCTTAACCCATGCCCCAGGTCTACATATGTAAAACAAGTCTATGAGGGGTCTTGGGCCCAAAGAAGCTAAGGGACTTTCTTTTTTATACTGCAAGAAATGGGCACCCTAGTAGCCCCAGAAGCAAACCACAGAAGGAACTTAAGGAAAGCTAGAAAGCTGAGGCCACCAAGCCTTTAATCCGGAAGTTCCTTCAGAGGGCGCATCTCCCCACCTCCCATTGCACCTTGACTATCTGGCTGGCACAACAACAGTGGCCAAGGGAGGACAGCAATTACTCTAAAAAACATTCTAGGAGGCCAACCTATTTTCTAAGTCTAAATTCCTCCTAGAACAGAGGAACCAAGATGCTGGTCTACAATGATGAGGCTGGCAAGATTTGGGGGGACTGGTATAGATTACTTAATGTCACAGAGGTAGGCACTCCCATAAGATGCCTCAATTGACAGTCCTTTATTTTTACCCTGATGGAAATTTAATCATTTTACACTACAGAAGAGCATATAGCTCTATCCATTATGCAATATACACTGGGAGATCAAAAACTATGGTGAGTGTTTAAGTTCAAAAATTTATTACAGTAAAAGACATATTGTCATTAATCCCCTCAATATACTCCCTCTTGCTTTGAACATACTTGTCCCATCATTCTTAGCAATGTGTGTGTGCATGTATGTGTGTGTGTGTGTGTGTGTGTGTGATGGTTCAATTTCAATGTACACTGGGCAATTTAATCATGTTTGAAAAATACCTCCAAACACTGTTCACGTTTTCAATAACTTCTGCTGAGTACCTACTAAACAGTAGACATGATGGAACTGGAGCAGCTCCTGGATCAATGAGGCAGATGGGGACCTCTCCACTGGGAAAGGCACAAGTGGAACACACTCTTAGGTGTGCATGCCTGCAGTCCTACAGCCCCACTCCACACTGTAATCCCAACTCCCTCTGAGGCCAACCTCAGGAAGATCTGCCAACTCTCAAAAGCTCAAAGCATGGTCAGGAGACATGTTCTGAACCTGAATCAGCCACTCAAACAGTAACAACTGTCCAGGTCACAGCTATCCCACCTGTACAATGGGGATAAAAGGAGATGTCCTGGGTATAGCCAAAAGCCAATGGGAGAGAAACTCAAACACCCATGTGATGTTGCTTATCATAATCCTTTAGGTCCCACTGTAGAGGACACAGAGGGTACATGAGGCCAGGGACCCCTACTTAGAAAGAGTTCTCAAATCTGTCTTAAAGACATTCTAAACAGAACTTCTAGCTGGGCTACCACCCACCTTCCTCTCATCAGAGCTCTGCTACAACCTGGACTGAAAGCTAGCCACCTCTCCTGTCCCAAAGGCAGAATAATGACACAATTCAACACCCTGATTAACTGCTCAACTCTAGTGGTGGGACAGAGTTGGGGAAGGAGGCAAGTCCTCACTATGACTCACCTGCAAACAAGGTCACTGCCCACAATGGCTGGGCTAACCTAGAGGTAACTAGAAGAATGTGAAGCATGTTCCTCTTTCCACTTAAACATATCTCTTCCAACAGCTACCATGGCTCCAGTCCTCACCGTTAGAGTGAATTTCTTTGGATGCTGGACTTTAGGAATCTCAAGTTTAAAAAAAGAGACTTGATTTCTAATTAGAGTTTTAATTTTAATTGCAAAAATGGATCCCACCACAAAAACAGTTCTGAAATTTTCTTCTTTAAGAAATTCCCAGATCACACTTTAGGGAATTTAATCCTCAGGGAGTCTTCTGACTTAGAGGGTGAGACATAAGGGAAGTTACCAATAAGAACTTGGAAGATGTCAGATTCCAACTGAGAGCCATTGAACTCAGGACCTTAGAAACCAAGGGTCCCCTCCTTCCCTCCCTAACTTTCTTGGACTCAGAAAGACAAAAATCAAAACCAACTTGATCATAAAGTCCAGAAATGTGACTGGCACCAATAAGTGAATCAAGGAGCCAACACTCCCTGCCTCCCTACTATACACAGAACACACAATTTCATCTCATCCCCAGTGGACTCAGATATCATGACCTGTGAGTGGTCCCTGGTTAACCACACCTAACTTATACCAAGCATTCTGGGACATCTACCTGAGAATGACGATCCCAGGACTTAGCCCAGGCTGCCTCAGGGGCTGAGTGGCTTATGGCATTTGGCCTGTCATCTCTGAGCCACAGTGTTGGAGGGTGCCAGAACCTCTCACATGCCCAGCCCACTCTGCCTTACATGAGGGCCTGGGTGACATGTTCTGTTCCAGTTCACCCACAAGCTCTTAGAGAGAAAGGCTGAGTCTCACTCATCTCTGACTCCCTAGGGAAGAAGAGCTACTGAGAAAACATGCATGGCTAGGCTGCAGGCAACAACCTCCAAAAGCTGGCCCTGGGACGATGTTTTGAAAAGCAGCAGGTTGGCAGTGACCTCAGACTCACACCTCATGTTCATTGCTATTGATAACTGCTTCTACTTCTAAGAGGATCGTCACTTGTGTCTTTGTGGACAGAGAGGTTATGGCTGTGGTAGGCCCTGATCTCTTCTCCCCTTGCCTGGGACAGGGGGAAGTACTGAGACCAGTTTAGAGAGAGGAAGCCAAGACACCTTCTGCCTTCCCATTCATGCAACATTGTGGCAATCTGTAGGAAACAACCCACTGCTCTTCACCCAGCTTCATCTCTAGGCCCCCTCCTAATCCTACTTTTCCCCAGGGAGCTGCCATAAACCACTCAGCAAGGAACTCCTGAGGAATAGATACATTGCTTCCTGCTTCCCTCTACTCCAGGAAGAAAGCATACAAACCTGCAGACAGCAGGTGACATAGATGGCTGAACAGTGACCACAGAGACACAGGAACAGCTTGTTGAATGGTCACAAGAGTATCTAACCAGAGGGGCCATTCCAAACCAGATTCACTTCCACATGCGTCCCTCACTTCCTCCTCCCATGGGCCCCGTCAAAAGGTCCAGCTCCAGCACTGAGGGGTGTCCACATATCTGTGGGAAGGCCACTGTACTGCACAAGATCTGGAGCTTGGGTTTGGCTTGAAATTAAAAAATGCCTCATTAGAAAGAGCAACACCCCTGGAAGGCAAGTCCATCCACCCCAATCTATCGTTCCAGTGCCCACAGAAAATAACCTCAATCTTACCTGGCCAAAGCTACAGCAGGGGTCAATTCAGAGATTGGGGGTCTCAGGTCAAACCCAACAGGTCCCTGTACCTCTCCTGTCTTCAAAGTGAAGAGGCAGTAGCCAAGGAGAAGAACTCCTCGGAAGAAGGCCAGGTTGCCCTCAGCGAACCAGCTTTGTCCCCATTTCCCATACATACACCTGCAGCACTCTCAGAGCAACCTATGTTCCCTGCGGATGGTACCCAGCAATAGATGCTCAAGGCCAGGTGAGGTAGGGCGCACACTGCAGCTCTCCACTCAGCTGGCTCCTAGCTTCACCTGCCCTCCCTGGAATAACAAGGGCTCCAACAAGGCTTCACCAATCCTCACCCCACCCCACCAGGCACCTTCCTCAAACCCCACACCAGCAATTACTCCTAATTACATGATGTGACAAGGCGCTGGGGCCTGAGCACTTAACTCAGGCCCTGCATTATGCAATGTTTTTAATCCTCTTACTTAGGGTGGAAAACTGATATGGTCCTCTAAGTTCACGTGAATGACTGGAAAAATAATTCTAAGAAATAAAAACATCACCATCAATATCACCTTACAGGCTCCCTGAAAGGATTAAAACCATGCATACCTTGAATTGTCAAGTGCCCTCTGCTGAACTCTCCTTGTGCCTTGTTGATGTGAAGGTTCCTCAAGGGGAGAGGGACCAAGTAGAGATCTCCTGGAGAAGACTGCAGCCTCTGTGGCTCAAGGTAAGTGCCCAAGGAGTGGCTGCAAGCGTATGGCCCTCCAGCCCAAGCCTGTGCCACAGCTGGACCTGCCTGGGTCCCACACTCCCCTAGTGTAACACAGTAGACAGATTGGCACCTTTCTGTCCACACAGAGCCCCATCCCTCCCTCATCCCTAAGGCAGGCTCTACTTCAAGGCTGGAAAGGATCCTCTACTGCCCTGCTGAGCATGCCCAGCCTTCTAGACACAACCACAGACACCACAGGCCAGAGATAACCCCACACAAGGACCAGACCACAAGCAGCTCAGACCTTAAGAAGCAGGGGAGGCCCTGGTGTCGCCATCAAGAGGTCCTTTGCATGCTGTGGGCTCCCTGTTTTCCCCAAGATAATCTCTATCAGCTATTGTTGGCTGCTATGCCATATGGAACTTACCTAAGGCCCCTGAACACTCCAATTGCCAACCAGCATAGGTGGGCAAGCAAGAGCACCTGCCCTCCCTTATCTGCACCCCAGCCCAGAGCCTGGCTGTTGGATGGGGGAGAACAGCCCAATACCAGCAGGTACAATTACAGTGGCAGTCCATTAAACCTTGGGAATAAAGAGCTGGCCTGGTAATTGCCCCTAATCCCCTTCAAGCCTTTGTCTGCTAGCAGCACTGCTATAAGCCTAATGGTGTGAGGTAAGTACCCAGACTCCCCAGCCCTCCCCAGAGCTGCCTTAGGCGGTCTAGGTGGGGACACTTAGTGCAAGCCCACCAGGATGCCATTCCTAAAAGGCTCTCTTGACAGGACCCTCCACAAAGAGGTGTCTCCATAGGATGATGAGGTCCCTAGGGCTACAAGATGGTTGCAACACTAGTGGCAGAAAAGGATAAAGATTCCAGACCCTGCAGGGATCTGATGGTTGTGCACAAGCAAGGTTCATGCCATCTGGACCCAACAGCCATTCCCACAACATGTTCTGGTCATGCTCAAAAATAACTTCTGCTCTCAAGGAGCTGCACTAGATAGGCTGTGTTACAGAGCATTTCACTAGTACAGTGTCCAGCCCTCAAAGTTTTGAGGACTGAATGGCCTGCCTGCAGCCAGTGATTCAGAGGCTTCCATGGAGGCTGGCCAGCTCCACTGCTCTTTATAACAACCTAAGAAGTAGAGGAGGCACCGATGATCCAAGACATATGGCATGCCCCTTGTCCCCTGAATCCCCTTGTCCCCTATTTAGCACTGGGATCCAGAGAGGGAGGGGTCACAAACCCAGGAGCTTCTGGGCCGAGCAGTGACACAGAGCAGTGAAACCAGGCCGTGGCATATCTCATACCACAACAGCAGCACAGGAAAAGATTGTCCCAACCTGTGCAGTCACCATGCCTTGATATACACAGGACTCCTACTCTACCATATTCTCCCTTTCAGTGGACATATCCACATCCATGTAAAGAGGGTAGCTCCTGGTGACTGCTGGCAAATCTTATGTCTCTGGAGAAGTCAGAAATCCAAGTTTTAGATAAAATCTCCCAATTTTAATAGCAGCAACTAATTCCAATAATTTAAAACACCTGATGAACCAAACAAATGTGTCCACAGGCCGTTGGTTTACAAGCTCTGCTGTTCCTCATTTGTCATTTTTCAGGACCCTCTACCCCTGCCCCCGACCTCCAACCTAGCTCCTCAAACGCAAAAACTGCATCATGTTCATCTCTACAGTCCCAGCACCTAACACAGGCCCCAGCATACAGCAGGCACTCATAAAACATTGGGTAAGTGACAGAATGAATGAGTGAATAAATGGATGAATAATCCCTAGATTCCTGACCCTTAGGAACTGTGAGATAATAAATGTGTACTGCTTAAAGCTGCTAAAGTTTGTGGTAATACTGTTGTTCACCAATGGATATTCATTCATGAGGGTCTTTACAAGTATGATCAAAAATACAGCCAACACTGCTGCCCAGTGCCATCCAATGGAGAGGCAAGCTCCTAAAAACATTGCTGTATGTCCTCATCCACCTTATTCACTGGATGTGGTGCCATGTGATTTGCTCTTTCCCAAAGTCAAAATGACTATGAAAGATAAATGTTTTGAATACTCAGAACATCAAGGCAAGCAACTAAAGACATTCATGAAAGAGGACTTCCATAGCCACTTCAGAAAGTGGTAAGAATGATAGAATGTGTATTTAACGGGCTGAGAGTATTTTAAGGGGGATTAATGGTAATGTGTCTTTTACTATAATAAATTTGAATAATTTAAACATTCACTACATTTTTCAATTATATCTTATTTATAAAATGAGAAAGAATTGATAGCTACAAAGAACAAAGAGCTCTAAATATATAGAAATAGGATAAAAAATAAGTTTACAAAATAAGTTTATAAAAGTAGAAAACATAGTCTAGATAGCAATTCGAAATGTAATGTCCTCAGACCCTTAAGGCACCCTGAGGTTTTTAGAAGGTCCATGATCTCAAAATGATGCTCATACTCCCACACTCGGCAGTTAATTGCCTCTTCCACTGTATTGACATTTGCACTGATGATGCAGCGCAATCGTAGGTAAAACTTCTGGTGCCTTCACAGAAACACAGGCAGTGGCAGCATGCTGTGATAGCAGTCACATACACTCACTGTCATACACAAGGAAGTGTCATCTCACTTAAAGATGTACTTGATGAAGCAGTAACTTATTCTATTCATTCTTAAACTTTGAGTACATGTCTTTTATTATTTTATGTGACAGAATAGGAGGTACACGTAAACCCCTTCTTCCACATACCAACATATAGTAGGTGATCTCCTCAAAGAAAAGCATTTGTATGATGACTGAGTTGCAAGACAAACCAGCCCCTTTTAGCATAGAGTGCCATTTTTAACACACACACACACACACACACACACACACACACACAACCTGACAGTCGAATTATGGTTATCCATACTTGGGTATTGGGCAAACATATTCTCAAAAATGAATGGCATGAGCCTGTAAATTCAAGGAAAATAACTGGTAGCATTGACATAATGACAAAATTCAAGCTTTCAAGCAAAATTAGAGCTATACAAAAGTCATCTACTACTATGAGCAAGAGAGCTTTCAAATGTGTACTTTTCAGTTGATATCAGTGGCAATATTTACAAATTTGATTATCTGATATTATATAAAGAATAGTGTCAACATTTGAAAGATCTGTATCACTCAATGAACTGATATTTGCCAACTGACCAGTGAGTGGTACGAAAGCAGTCATAGGCAAAATTTGACACTACAACTAACCTGTAAGAACTTGCCATTGTTGGGTTTGGCTATAAAATTAAAGGACATTCACAATGATCTGAAAAAGCCATTAAAATACTCTTTGCATTTTCCAACTACATATCTGAATGAAATCAGACTTTCTTCACATACTTCAAATTAAAATGTATCACAGAATGAATGCAGAAAGAGCTGAGAATATAACTATCTTCTGTTAAAACACATATTAGAATAGCAAAGATATAAAACTATTTTTTAACTAAATGTTTTATTTTAGAAATTATATTTATATTTCCATAAAATTATATTATGTGTGGTAACATGTAATTAATTTCTTTTAAATTAATACATATTTTTTAATCTCTCAGTATTTATTTCTAATATGGTAAATATCAATAGACATAAATATAAGCTTTTTGAGATTTTCAGTGACCTGTAAGAACGTACAAAGTCCTAAAACAAAAGGGACCAGAGACCAGAAGATTTAAGAACTGCTGAGTTAGAAATTAAAATGACAAAAATACGAAAATTAAGAAAAAGGCTAGAAACATTTGAAAAAAAGGATTTCAGAAAAAAGAGAGTGAGCAAGATTTAATAAGACAAATCCCTAGAACTGAAGTTTTCAGATTTAAAATATCTATATCAAGTACCCAAAACAAGGAAAAAAAAAAACTAATATTGAGCAATGGAGATGTGATTTTTTTTTTTTTTTTTGTACTGGGGATCGAACTTGGGTCCTTGAGCTTGCGAGGCATGTGGCGGAACCACTGAGCTAAATCCCCAGCCCAAAGGAGATGTGATATTGCAGGTGATATTGCCCTGCTGATAAAGGGCTGATCCTTGAAGCTTCTGGGTGGGAAGAAAGGCAGGCAGTGCAGAAATGGGTAGATTCCAGGACTGGAGCACAGAATAGCATCTAACTTTTCAACAGTAACATGGGAGGTTCCTAAGGGAAAGCAATTTCAATACAGAATTTTATACCCAGTCAAATTATTAATCCAGTATAAAAGTAAAACAAAGATATTTTCAAACATGCAAGATCTCAAAAATATTGCCTCCCATGTATCGATCCCTTCCCTTTGGGAAAACACTGAAGGAAGGGAGTGTGTGAGCAACGAGTAAGGCACAGAACTCAGGGGGATGACCCACCAGGACTCTCCAAGGGGTGGGAGAGTTGGGGGGAGGGGACATAAAAGGAGGTCTCAGGGGAGCAGCTACTTCCAAGACAGCAACCTCCAGACAGAAGGGGAAAAGGAACAATCACCCAATCCTTCTGTACATAACAAGCAAGTACTTCCTCTTTAGTCAAAATTGGAGAGTAATCAGTAACAGAAAACTAAGCAAATGAGGCACCATGAATGTCACTGGACAATGAAAAGTCTTCTCAATGAAGTTGTTGGAAACTGGATATCCGTATGCAGAATTACAAGACCTCTACCACTAACCTTATATAAAAATCAACTCAAAAGGCTGATAATGTAAGGCCCCAAATTCTAAAACTACTAGAAGAAAACACAGGGGAAACACTTCAAGACATTAGGGTAAGCGCAAGGTCCCAAGTTCGATCCCCAGTACCAAAAAAAAAAAAAAAAATTAGGGTAGGCAATTTTTTTATAAGACCATAAAAGCACAGGCAACAAAAGCAAAACTTGACAAATAGGATATTATTAAACCAAGAAGCTTCCACACAGCAAATGAAACAACAGAATAAAAAGACAAACTACACAACAGGAGGAAACTTTTTCAAATTATTTATATGATAAGGGGTTACTACCCAGAATATATCAGAGACTAAAACAAGCCAAGAGCAAACAATCAAATAACTTGATTAAAAATCAGCAAATAACTGAACAGAAATTTTTCAAAAGAAGATATACAAATAGCCAACAAGCATATGAAAAATACTCATTATTATTCATCATCAGGGAAATGCAAATCAAGACTACAGTGAGGTGTCAATTTACCCCAATTAGGACATCCAATACAAAATGACAATAATAGGCTGGGGGTGTCAGAACACTTACCAGCCCGTGCAAGACCCTAGGTTCAATCCCCAGTACTACAAACAATAAAATGAAAGACAATAATAAATGCTAGGGAGGATGCAGAGAAAGGAGAACTCTGATATACTGCTGATGCAAATATAAATTAGTACATACATTATGGAAAACATTATGGAGGTTCCTCAAAAAATTGAAAATAGAATTATCATATAATCCAGCAATCCCAGTACAAGGTATATAGCCAAAGGAAATGAGATCATTACCTCAAAAATACAGCTGCACAACCATGTTTATTGCAGCACTATTCACAATAGCTAAGATATGGAATCAGTCAAGTATTTGTTTTACATTTTTGGCAGTACTGGAGATCAAACCTAGGGGTATACTACCACTGAGTTACACTCTCAGCCCTGTTTTTTTGTACCAGGGATTGAACTCAGGACCTTGCTCTTGCGAAGCAGGCAGTGGTACCACTGAGCTAAATTCCCAGCCCTACTAGAAGAGGAGAGTTTGAATGATAGAAATGATAATATCTCTGGAAATAGAAATGCTAATTACCCTAATTGCATATGGTATGCATGGATCAAATTACAATTGTGTATTCTAAACATGTACAAACAACTAAAATATTTTAAAGAAAAAAGAAAATCAAGAACATGTGCACACACAAAAACTAAAAAAAATGAAAAAGCAAGCCAGGTACTATATATATAATTCTAAAAAATCTACAAAGACCAAAAACAAATAAACAAAAAATCCTGTGATCCCAGGATGCTACATGGCTCTGATGCAGTCATAGCCATGCATATTAATACCAAAAGAAACTACTAAAAGAAAGAAAAACAGTTACTTCTAGAAAGCAGAAACCAAGGAGAAGCACAAGGCAGGGGCTGCAACTTTCAAGCTTTTTGCTTCTTCACTATGAATATACATTCCTCTGATTAAAAAATAAAAATTAAATTAAAAACTAACCAGGCACAAGAAGAGCCCACTCCCTCACCACCTCAGCCTGATAAGCATTCCTTGGATTTTTACTTGACTCTACAGTATAACCATGGACCAGCCAGTCTCCAGCAGAAGCATGGGCATGATAGGGAGGGAAATTCAGGTCCCTTATCCAAATGTTCTGCTCCTCTGACCAACAGCTGAAGCTACATCAGTAAGCTCTGTCATCATCACCACCATGAACTAACTCTTAATTCAGTAGGTACCTCTGAGCATGTCACCCACTGAGCTGGGCATTATCTTCTTTTCCCAGGTAAGGCCAGTGCTCAGTGAGATGAAGAACTGTGGCACCCTGATCCCTAGGTGGGCGAGGCTGTGGAGTAGGGATCTGAACCAAGGTGCTCAGTCTGTCTCTCAGATCTGTGTGGCGTTTCAGAGCTGGCCCTGCTCTTCCCTATGATGCTCCATCCTTCTTATCCTCAACCTCAGTGGGCACCCAAACTTCAGCACATGTTTTATGGGTGCTGCCCCTCATCCTGAATGCCTTCCAATGTTTCTGGGGGGAGACTGAGGACAGAGGCCCTCTGAGTCTTCCAGCGTGAGAAGAGGGGCATGACAGATATTAGCATCTTCATTTGACAGAGGAGAAAGCTGAGATCAGAGAAGGGACTTCCCTGAAACCACACAGCAGGAACCCAGGTGGCCCAGCATCCCTTCAGGTACACCCCATTCTGGACCCCCTCCTTGTCCTCACCTAAGCTCTGGGGTTGACTTATCTGCAAGGAGGAGGAACTACCCACAGGTTCTCAAAATCCAGCTTTGGTGGCAAGTAGATGTGAAACAGACACTAGGTCATATGATGTGTGGTCAAACGCCAAGGTCAGATTTGTCCCCGAGGGGCAGGGCTAAGATCCAGTTGCTAAGACATTTGGCCTGGGGAGTCTGCTGTGACTCATAGCCTTTAAGGGAAGCACCTGGCTTCTCAGAGGGGTGCAATGCTGTTCCTAGCAACTGGAGTAGGTCCAGGGGCAAAGATGAACAGCATCCCCATGGCAAGTACTACATCATCTACATCTCTAAGCCCCCACACTGGCAGCCCAACTGACACCAAGTGTTTCCACCACTTCTCAGATTAAATGGTGCTAGCAACATTGTGCCCAAGCCTTTCCTAATGCTGAAGATGTGTCATGCCCAGCCCAGAGCAATGCTAGTAGATGCCCAATAAATGAATCTGTAAACTCACAAAGGCAGTCACCACACTGTGTGGCAGAAAGCTGGCTCTGCCCAAATTATAGAAAGCTCTGGCTTCTTTCTCAAAACAAAGAAATGGTCCCATGAATACCCAGAAATCTTTCATTCTATCAGAGGCATGAATGATAAGTTTTCAGACTCAAGGGAGCTCTGGGTCACCCACCAAAGCTTACACACTTCTCTAGATCAGTGGTGTTCAAAGGGTGGGCCCTTGGCATTTGTGAAAAATAAAATTTTCAGGATCCACTCCAGACCTAATAAATCAGAAACTGCAGAGGACCAGCAATGGTTTAATAAGCCTTGCAGGTGATTCTAATCCAATATTGTTTGAAAACGTCTGCTCTAAATAAAATCCCCCGAAATAATAACCCTAAGACAAAGCAGATTTCTTCCTCCAAACCAGAAAATAAATAGCTGATGTCACACACATCACTCGTCACTAGCATCAAATCAAACTCCTCCAAAATCACTTATTTGGTATCTGTTCCATACATATCTGCATATACCTACACAGATGAGTATAGACAATATACAATAAAGGGAAGAAAGTTCACAACTTATTATATAATTATGCGTGTATGCTTATGTTTGTGTTTTTCCCCCCTACTTGCTGAATTCTCATAAATTCCCTGAGCAGGACATACCCAGCCCACCACTAGGGACCGTGCCGCAAAGGCTGTTCAGCCCACTTAGGGTGAGCCTGGAGCTGAGCCAGCCACCACCCTGCCTGACTTCACACCACTGTTCCGGAGTTACACTCCAAACTCCGTCTGAAAACGCCCCCCTGAGAATGGAAAGATACACAATTCTTCCCTGCTGGACCTCTCTCCTTGTACTCCTTTGCCCTCTTCCTGCTCAATGACAGACACTGTCCGCATCTGAAATCCCAGGGCGTCCTTCTGTTCCGGCATCCGTCCATCCCCAGCCTCTGATTGGACCTCTGCATCTGGCTCCTCCCACTTATTTTCCCGACCTGCTTCTCCCAATCGGCAGCAAGAAGCTGGGTGCTCAGGGTGCCTCCCTGCTGGAAGTGCCACCTTACGTTTATCTGTTCCCCATGTCGGATGGGTTCATAAGAATATGAGGACATGAGCCCTGCCTGTGTCTTCCAGGAGGGGCCCGGGAGCATGTCACAGGCAATCCCAGCTGGAGACATGGGCCTGCACCATGGACTCTCTGAAAGCCTCATGAAAGCATTCCAGGATGTAATAAACCCGTCAGGCCCTGGCTAATTTATATCTAAGCGGATGATTTCCCATTTTTTAGAATGTAAATGTTTAGATTGCAGCATTCCCCTGCCCCGGCATCCGGGGTCCTGGCACGTCAGTGATGGAATCAGCCGCCTTTCCTCAGGGATCCTTAGATGGAAGAGCCACGATGCCAGCATCCACTGCTGGGAAGAGGCCTGTTCTCATCCAGCACGTGTGCGAAGCCTACACCAAAAGCAGTGCACCACCATGTGCTTAATGTCAAGAAATCTTATCTGGCTTTACAGAAGATGGGAGCAAAAGTGGAGCTTTCAAAGTCAAGGCCTCAGAGTGGAGGGAGCAACTCAGATTAGCTAGGTATTCCAAGATCTCTTTCCTTTTGTACTTCTTTCCAAAATGTTCTTCACTTGTTCTGGCCTCAAATGCATTTTATTAGATCTTTGTACTTTATAAACAGGCAAAAGTAGTAGATTAGTGAGAATAAATATAACACAACAATCCAAGAAAACAGTCCAGATGGGCCAACCACACCCTAAGCATCCCACTGCCCATTGTGTCCAGGGCTGCTTGAGGATGGAGACCCTGCCATGCAGCACCCTGGATGACCCATCAGTAGGGGCAATTCCCCAGGAAAGAGTCTCCACCAAGGTACCCATGAGCCTAAGATCTTGAGTTCCAGGCACTGGACAACCAGCTACCCAAGAGCAATGAAAGAACCTCTGTGATGACCGTACCCATCATCCTGGTACCATATTCCATGGACAAGACCCCATTAGTGTGCATTGTGAGCCCTATAAGCCACTTAGTCTTTTGGTTTCCTCACTGGTCAAGTAAGGCTAAGAATGCCTGATCCTCACCACCTCCAAAGAATGATGTGAGAAGTCTAGGAGGGCTTAAAATCCTAGAAAGGTAGCAGCTGCATCCATCCCAGAAGGCAGCAGAATGCAGCACCTGGACACTGTGCCTCTGAAATTCATCACTGCCCAGGTACCAGTCTACTACCTCCTGGCTATGTATCCTTGGGCAAGTTATCTCATCTCTCTGAGCCTCAGTTTCTTTATCAATAAGTATCAGTCTAAGTTGTTACTAATAATTAATGTGTACTGAGTATTCATAGTCTAATCTGAGAGGCAGCCAGGTGAGATCCCCTGAGAGAGGACTGTCTACCCAGCCCAATTATTCACTCCTATGAATGCACACTGGCTCAACAGTGGTGGACAGGGCTCAGGCAACACTGGAGCAAATGAATTCCAACACAACAGAAATGCCACACACAGCTGGGCTGGAAAGAAGGCAGATGAGAACCAGAATCACTCCTGTGCTCAAGTAAAGGGTTCTGATCCACCCAAAGACCAGGCTTCTCAGCCTATGGCTCTCAGTTCCAAGGCCTGCACCATCCTCTTTTCAGGTGTATTAGTAGTGAATGGTTGGACTAACCATTGCTACAATCTGCCCAACCAAGCTACTCCACAGCTGTCCTCAGGAACCATGGCTGAATCAGTGTTCATGGCCCTTCACAGTGGCTCCTTAGCTTCACCCAGTCATCTGAGGACAAAATTCTCAGGCAAGTCCTCAGAAGTGAGCCCCTCAAGTTCCATTTCAGCTTTTCCCAGGACTGAAGCTCACAGGCAGCCCTTGTCACAATTCCTTGTGCAGCTCTGCAGGAGGCCAAATCCAGTGCCTCTTGGGGACTGCACAGGGCACCAGCAGGGCCTCCTGTGTCAGATCTCTACAAACCAAGCCACGTAGCTTCCATATCAATGCCATTTCCCTTCCTCTTTTGGGTCAAGGGGAAAAGCGGTGGGGACCAGCAATGACCCCTCTCCCAGCCCACTCATTCGTAGACAGTTAAGTGTTTCCCCCTGCCTTGCAGTGTGACTGCCCCCAAATACTTCCTGGCCAGCCCTGACCATGCAGGGAAAGCCCTGCCTTCTCCACCAATGGGAAGCCTGGCTAGAGGTTTTATTCTATTAATTTTCATCCTGATAATTGGAAGCAGCTCTCCTGGCTTCTGTGGGGTTTAATGAGCTACATAACATCACATTTCCCACTGAGGCTGCTAAAACCTGCATTTCACCCTAGGAATGCCACCACCCCATCCTTTCCTACCCCACATTGCTCCAGGCCCTACAAGCTGCCAGTTCTTCTGCTCCCTGGGATCCAGACTCCTCAGAACTCTAGGCCTCCACAGAGACCTGTGATAAACCCTTTGGTAGAAAGCAGAATTGAATCCTCTTTGGACCCATGTCCATATTATGGGTAATAAAGGCCTTTATGTGCCCATAAAGTAAAATTCCTGCAAAGCCTTTCCATCTTGACACGCTACGTGCAATAAGATGACTGCTGCTAGCACACAGCTCTTACACATGCAAAGTCTACCTAATGCACTGCAACCGGGTGACACCTGTGCCCACCTGACATGTGTCAACGTGGAGATTCCAGTGCCAGCCCTGGGACCTACCAGCTAGGTATGTAGGCTCACCACCACTGAGCGAGGTAATCGGCCTGTCATCCCATCTCATTCAGCCGTATTTCCCTCCTCTGGAATATAGGATAACACCACCATCTAATTTACCAGACCATTATAAAACCCCAATTTGCATTTTATTCATTCATTCAATTATGGAACAAATGCCTGCTGAGTCCCTACTCTGGGCCTATTTCGGGCTCAGAAGGTGCAACACTGATTGACAAGACCATGCCCTTCTAGTGCATTAGCAACAGAAAACATACAAGAAACAAGAAAGAAATGAACAAACCTACATTTCAGATGATGCCAAGAGCAATGTAGACAAGCCCCACGATAGTGCTGGAGGGCCATATCAGACTCAGCCTCAGGGTCAGACAAGTCCATGTTAGCACAATGTATCTAGAAAAGAGAACTATTGTACTATGAGGCAGGATTATCCAGCATCCCAGCACAGCTGTCTTCACTGAACTAGGAAGGGCCTGCAGGATCCAAAAGTTTGGGCAGCCTCACAAGACTTGCCAGAGTTAAAAAAAAAAAGGAATTGCCAGAGTTTCTAGGGTTTCTAGCTCATAATCTAGGATGACTCTAGGAGGCTCAACCCAGAGATAGATTATACCTTTTCCACTGCCACCCAAGGCCTCCTTCCCCTCCTCTGGGTGAGTTTACATGACCACCACACCCCTTCCCACCTTCCCTGGTAATCCATGATGGCCAAGCCCACGTCTGTCCCGTGTGATGACTAGCACACAGTAGGTTCCCTGAATGAGTGAAGAAGCCAGCAGAAAGAAGAAAATGCTGTAAATGTGGCCCAACTCAGCCCCAAAACAGAGCCATCCTCATATAGGGGTAGAAGGAAGGAAATCCCATTTTGTCCAGATTAACAGTAATGCCCAGATAGGGCAAGAAACTTATGCTTTGTCCTTTTAGGCTCCCCTTTTAATAAGTCAGGTTGCTTCTGACCCAGCCATTGTCCATCTTCTCAAGACAAGAGTCACCTCCTTTCACCCCACTCACCACAATATTTCTTCATTTCCCACTCTGCTAGGACTGTGTCACCCATCTCAATACAGCTGATCACATACCACACCCAGCAACCAGGACTGTGGGCCAGACCCAGTAACCTCATCCAGTAGCTGATCCAACAAAGGTTGAGCCAGGTCACTGAGGGGTCAAGCTCACGTTCACCATGTCCCAAGGAAGAAGCTTTGACCAATTTGCACCTCACCTCTTGCAGGGCCAGGCAGGTCCCCCAGACCAGAATGTACTGACTGGCCTTCCACCTCACATTTGGCCCTACTCTGAGTGGCACAACTTGCCCATGGACAAAGCAGCCAAACTCTGCCATGGGTTGTGGGTGTAGACAGCAACTTGTGCTTTCATTTTATAGATGTCCACAGCACACATCCTAGATCAACATCTCAGAGTCCCCCTTTATTAGAAGTCACACACAGCAAGAGTTTGCAGCAAGCATATTAGAGAGCACAAAACCAGAGATGGAAAAAGAAAGGCATGTTTAGTAGGCAGGGAAGCCAAGTGGAGAGGGTAGGGGAGAAGAACTAGCTAAAGGTTAAAGCAAGAGATAAAGACCCTGGTCCCAGGGCCCACTAATGCTGACGGGGGCTGAGCTGGGGATGGAAGGTCAGGATGTTGTCATTTAACAGTTAACCAGTCAGGGCCAGCACAGTGAAAAGGCAAGGGCTTTCCTGAAGCTACAGGCAGGAGAACTGCATCCCTGGGATCAAGAACACCAGCCATTGCATGGAGCTTTGGTGTGTGGCTTGTAGAAGCATCAAGTCTAAGGGATGCCATTATGTACCAATG